GGGAAGTTAAAAATATTATCATAGAGAGAAAACTCAGGATTTCAAAAATAATTAAAGAAAAAATTTTAATAATATGTTAAGTAAAATGTAAGACAGACAGTATTAAGTAAAATTAAGTCAGAAAGTATTAATAGAAGGTAAAATCTTATCTCAATTTAAACAAATAAACAACAGAACTAAACATGTACAGCTGGTCCTCAGTAGCCACATCCGTGGATTTAACCAATCATAGGTCAAAATATCCAGAAAAAAAAAAATTGGTTGTATTTGTACTGAGTATATATAGATTGATTTTTGTCATCACTCCCTAAGCAATATGAAAGTCTTCAAAAAGTTCATGGGAGATACATACTGTGAAAAAACTATAAATACATTTCAAGGTTTTCTTTTTGCATTAAAATAAACTCCTATTTTAATTCTACTTTTCCACTTTTTGAAGTATCACAACTGTTTACAAAGCATTTACATTTTATTAGGTATTATTAGTATTCTGGATGTGATTTAAAGCGTGCATGCAGGAAGATGTATGTAGGTTAGAGGCAAATATTATATATGCGATTTTATATAAGGGATTTGAACATGAATGGGTGAAGGGTACCCTAAAACAAATCCCCCAGGGTCCCAAGGGACTACAATAGACAAGAAGAAGAAGGAAGAAGAAGAAGAACAAAAACCCAAGCATGGGACCAGCAGATGGCATAATGGTTAAATCACTGGACTATCACATAGTCAACAGTGGTTCAAGTACTGGACCTAGTGGCTTAAAACTCATGCTAGGCACACATGCATGCATGTCTAAGATTCCCAGGAGAATGGAGGAGAAGGGATTGTTGTGTGGCTATCCCCCCTGGGGGCTGATTTCTCATTTTCGGTCTTTCTCTGTCTCTCTAGTGAGTACATGTGCCCTACAGCAAAAATCTCCCTCAAAAAAAAAACAAAAACAAAAACAAAAAACAACCAACCAAACAAACAAACAAAAATAAGCCATCAACAGGGACTCCTGTAAGTGGTTCCACGTTTTCAAGAGAAACAATAATCCTTAAGTAATGTGAACACAAAATGAACAGTAAATGATACATGAAAATCAGCATAAAACGGAGCTAAATAACGACTTCTATACTGATAAAAAAAAATCTGTCAATTATACTGTTACTCATTTTGGGGATTCTAAAAAAAAAATCTTGCAAACTAATAGTTGTCTATATTTTGAAGAGTAAGATAATATATTTGTAAAATATATAATTGTTCTGGCAATAGGTTCCTAATCTACAGTGGATTTATACACAGCAAAACTACTTTCCTAGTTTTGATTTACTCACAGTAGTTATCTTGAAGGAAAAAATACAAGCCTCAAGGATTCTTACATATAAATCTCTACGGCTCTGAGAAATTCTTTTATTATGTAATCAGACCTCAAAGAATTATTTATGTAACATTAAATGTCAGTATACCTACCCATAGTTAAATCTGTCATTTCCTTTAATACTCTTTCCATAGAAGTACATGTGATTTATCAGAGCAAACAATCTTAAAGGATAAGAACCATCTGTTAAGGAACCTGAGATTTGCTGATTTTACTATTGGAATAAAGACTTTTTTAAACTTAGCAATGCTTAGACTCCTTGTTTCTATGATCTTGAAAAGTCTTTTATCGTTAAGAATTCTTAAAACCCATGCTCCATCTCTGGATCACTGATGTATCACAATGACTGAAAATTTAAGGGATAGGGTAACAAATGTAGATGCCATACAGAAACCAAACAACCCACAAAAAAACCATAAACTTTCACCTCCTTGAGTACTGGAATTTAGACTCGAGACATTATAGGAGTACAAACAAGAAATAAAGTAAGTTGGGATGCCATAGCTAGAGGGCTTGCTGAGAAACAGAATATCCCCAGATTCTTTCTGTCCTGATAACTTACACTCTCTTCAAAAATTGTTATAGTGATGCTTTCCAAGATGTAGTTCTCTCATCATTATTAAGCAACAAAAATGCAAATACATAATTTTTAAAACTTTTTCTAATGTTACTTAACTTTTGTTAGTTCTAATTAAAGTGGATATTAATAAACATGTAGCATTTTTTTTTTTTAAAGTAAAGCAAGGACTCCATGGTATAGGCTATGAAATTCACTCTACACAGCTAACCTAGAGTTGACTTGGTCATAAGATTTAATTCTAAATTTAAGTTAACTTTTAAGAGGAGATTTCTCTTCTCTATTTTTGAATGTTTTGCCGTTAATGGACAATTTCTGAATGGAAGTGCCTGCAGTGGCTGTAGAGATTTGACATGTGTCTCACCTTCTCTGGATGAGATAATCTTCCAGGATATCGAGGCAACGCACCATCTGGGAGAAGATGAGTACTTTGTGGCCACCTGCAATCAGCTTAGGGAGCAGTTTATCAATCAGTACCAGCTTCCCGGCTGCCTGAATCATGGCCTGCAGCTGAAAGTCAGGGGCATCAGGGCTGTGAGTTTTTCGGAAATCTTCCAGAATTTTCTCCTCTGCTCCTGAAAAGAAATGGAACAAAAGTATTCTTTGAATGAAGTATATTCTCTGCTTTACAGATTCTGGAAAAAAAAAAAAGAAGTGATTCTTGGGTCCTAGACCTGCAGTTCAGTGAGAAATGTAGAGTATGCGTCTGCTGGTCTGTGCCCTTCACAAAGGCTCTGCAGGGGCTCAGGGCCATCGAGTGCTTTGCTTTACTGGTAAGTCTAAGTTGAGAGGGTTTGAAACAGAAAAATCCAGAGTGGGCTCCTTCAAGAAACCATCCTGGGAAGTTGACAAGAAAAGACTTTCAACCTCCTGACATCTCAAAAAGCTACATGGAACTCCAGGTCACATTTTTTTTGAATTGCCAGACTATATGTACACTTGCCAGAAAGAGAGAGAAAACACCCCCTTATGGGGTGAGGTCACACTGCAATCCCTTCTCCTCCATTTCTCCATCCTGCAGGGCTTTTTGGCATGGATGCACACACACCCAGTATGTGTTTCAAGTCATAAGGGCTGGGATTCAAACTGTGGTTGGCCCTGTGGGATCTAGCTACCTTAACCATTAGGATACAGGGCTGGTCCCCAAGTTACATTTTGACCTAAAAATCCACCAAGGGTTGGCCAAATCCACCCATGGCCTGGTGAAGGGAGCTGGATCTTACATGATCAACTTCACAGCTCAAGCTCTGGACTAGCAACTTGAAAAAACATGCCGGGTATGTGTGAGACCATGCTCAAAGTCCCCCAAAAAGGGAAAAATGGAGCAGAAGGGACTGCAGTGTGACTATGTCCCATTGGGAATGCTTTCTTCCTCTTTCCGTCTCTCTCCAGTATACACACATATCCTCTGGGGGGAAAAAAAAAATCCATTCTCTTCTTGGGATTTTGGGCATGCAAGCACATGTGCCTGGCATGAGTTTCAAACTGCTTGGTCTCGAACCATGGTTGGCCATGTGGGAGTCCAGCACCTTAACCACGATGCCATCTGCTGTCCTCCTCATCTACAGAGTGTTTTAATCTCAATATAGCATTATCATTGATTCCATCAAGTAAAAAATTTAGTAACTCACAATTTGATTCTGTGTACTCACTACCTAGATTGCTTAGGCAAATCAATCAACTACTCTGAACCACAGTTCTATACTCTACAGTGAGAGTACATACATTTTAGCATATAATGGGCACTCAGCACATGAGATATATATTTTTTTTTTTTGGAGAGGTTTTTGCTATAGGGCATGTGCACTCGCCAGACAGACAGAGAGAGACAGAGACAGACAGAAAGCGAGAAATCACCCCCCAGGGGGGATGGCCACACTGCAATCCCTTCTCCTCCATTCTCCTCTCGGGATCTTGGGCACGCATGCACACGCGCCCAGCTTGAGTTTTAAGCCACCGGGTCCGGGACGCGAACCGCGGTTGACTACATGGGAGTCAAGCGACATAGCCATTACACTAACTGCTGGTCCCAGCACATGAGATCTTTATCATATGCTTCTGGCTGAAACCCAGGCCAGTCCTCAGTGACTCTCTGCTGCCCCAACTTACCGTTAATCAGGTAAGGATGGTTACAACATTTTCTTAGTTCCATCATGGTATTAATGAGATTGGGCATGTTGTGCTGATTAGCCCCCTTGGTCAGGAAGGAAAAGTTCTTCTCCAGGATGGCACGGTAATACTTTTTCTGGATATTAGTCAATTCCACTTCAATGATTGTTTCCTGTTTAGGAGCAAGGTTCTTTTCCACATCATCTTTTAGCCGTCGAAGCATCATTGGTTTTAGGATAGACTGCAATTTCTTTACCTGTCCAGGAAAATAAGACCTGCTTACCTGCTCCAATCCTGACTTAATGACTACCAGGTAATCCAACCTTCACTATATCTCTTGAATATCTAATCACAGTACTTTGCTAGTAGACAAAAAGAAAGATCATGACTGATCCTTGAAAATGGGAGTTTATAATAGTACTGAAAAAAAAAGAGTTGTTTTTTTAATTCACAATTACTGAGAACCCACATGGCAATCTCACGAGATAAAAGGGAGAAAGATACAAAAGACAGGACCTATTCTCTAGGATGGAGCAAAACAAACCTCTTTTGGACTTTTGCTATCACATATGAGCAGCAATTACTTGAAGAATATTTTAGCTTTCCAAGATGTAGTTCTCTCATCATTATTAAGCAACAAAAATGCAAATACATAATTTTTAAAACTTTTTCTAATGTTACTTAACTTTTGTTAGTTCTAATTAAAGTGGATATTAATAAACATGTAGCATTTTTTTTTTTTAAAGTAAAGCAAGGACTCCATGGTATAGGCTATGAAATTCACTCTACACAGCTAACCTAGAGTTGACTTGGTCATAAGATTTAATTCTAAATTTAAGTTAACTTTTAAGAGGAGATTTCTCTTCTCTATTTTTGAATGTTTTGCCGTTAATGGACAATTTCTGAATGGAAGTGCCTGCAGTGGCTGTAGAGATTTGACATGTGTCTCACCTTCTCTGGATGAGATAATCTTCCAGGATATCGAGGCAACGCACCATCTGGGAGAAGATGAGTACTTTGTGGCCACCTGCAATCAGCTTAGGGAGCAGTTTATCAATCAGTACCAGCTTCCCGGCTGCCTGAATCATGGCCTGCAGCTGAAAGTCAGGGGCATCAGGGCTGTGAGTTTTTCGGAAATCTTCCAGAATTTTCTCCTCTGCTCCTGAAAAGAAATGGAACAAAAGTATTCTTTGAATGAAGTATATTCTCTGCTTTACAGATTCTGGAAAAAAAAAAAAGAAGTGATTCTTGGGTCCTAGACCTGCAGTTCAGTGAGAAATGTAGAGTATGCGTCTGCTGGTCTGTGCCCTTCACAAAGGCTCTGCAGGGGCTCAGGGCCATCCAGTGCTTTGCTTTACTGGTAAGTCTAAGTTGAGAGGGTTTGAAACAGAAAAATCCAGAGTGGGCTCCTTCAAGAAACCATCCTGGGAAGTTGACAAGAAAAGACTTTCAACCTCCTGACATCTCAAAAAGCTACATGGAACTCCAGGTCACATTTTTTTTGAATTGCCAGACTATATGTACACTTGCCAGAAAGAGAGAGAAAACACCCCCTTATGGGGTGAGGTCACACTGCAATCCCTTCTCCTCCATTTCTCCATCCTGCAGGGCTTTTTGGCATGGATGCACACACACCCAGTATGTGTTTCAAGTCATAAGGGCTGGGATTCAAACTGTGGTTGGCCCTGTGGGATCTAGCTACCTTAACCATTAGGATACAGGGCTGGTCCCCAAGTTACATTTTGACCTAAAAATCCACCAAGGGTTGGCCAAATCCACCCATGGCCTGGTGAAGGGAGCTGGATCTTACATGATCAACTTCACAGCTCAAGCTCTGGACTAGCAACTTGAAAAAACATGCCGGGTATGTGTGAGACCATGCTCAAAGTCCCCCAAAAAGGGAAAAATGGAGCAGAAGGGACTGCAGTGTGACTATGTCCCATTGGGAATGCTTTCTTCCTCTTTCCGTCTCTCTCCAGTATACACACATATCCTCTGGGGGGAAAAAAAAAATCCATTCTCTTCTTGGGATTTTGGGCATGCAAGCACATGTGCCTGGCATGAGTTTCAAACTGCTTGGTCTCGAACCATGGTTGGCCATGTGGGAGTCCAGCACCTTAACCACGATGCCATCTGCTGTCCTCCTCATCTACAGAGTGTTTTAATCTCAATATAGCATTATCATTGATTCCATCAAGTAAAAAATTTAGTAACTCACAATTTGATTCTGTGTACTCACTACCTAGATTGCTTAGGCAAATCAATCAACTACTCTGAACCACAGTTCTATACTCTACAGTGAGAGTACATACATTTTAGCATATAATGGGCACTCAGCACATGAGATATATATTTTTTTTTTTTGGAGAGGTTTTTGCTATAGGGCATGTGCACTCGCCAGACAGACAGAGACAGAGACAGACAGAAAGCGAGAAATCACCCCCCAGGGGGGATGGCCACACTGCAATCCCTTCTCCTCCATTCTCCTCTCGGGATCTTGGGCACGCATGCACACGCGCCCAGCTTGAGTTTTAAGCCACCGGGTCCGGGACGCGAACCGCGGTTGACTACATGGGAGTCCAGCGACATAGCCATTACACTAACTGCTGGTCCCAGCACATGAGATCTTTATCATATGCTTCTGGCTGAAACCCAGGCCAATCCTCAGTGACTCTCTGCTGCCCCAACTTACCGTTAATCAGGTAAGGATGGTTACAACATTTTCTTAGTTCCATCATGGTATTAATGAGATTGGGCATGTTGTGCTGATTAGCCCCCTTGGTCAGGAAGGAAAAGTTCTTCTCCAGGATGGCACGGTAATACTTTTTCTGGATATTAGTCAATTCCACTTCAATGATTGTTTCCTGTTTAGGAGCAAGGTTCTTTTCCACATCATCTTTTAGCCGTCGAAGCATCATTGGTTTTAGGATAGACTGCAATTTCTTTACCTGTCCAGGAAAATAAGACCTGCTTACCTGCTCCAATCCTGACTTAATGACTACCAGGTAATCCAACCTTCACTATATCTCTTGAATATCTAATCACAGTACTTTGCTAGTAGACAAAAAGAAAGATCATGACTGATCCTTGAAAATGGGAGTTTATAATAGTACTGAAAAAAAAAGAGTTGTTTTTTTAATTCACAATTACTGAGAACCCACATGGCAATCTCACGAGATAAAAGGGAGAAAGATACAAAAGACAGGACCTATTCTCTAGGATGGAGCAAAACAAACCTCTTTTGGACTTTTGCTATCACATATGAGCAGCAATTACTTGAAGAATATTTTAAGTCATGTTAGGAGGTACAAGTGATTATATTGCAAAGGGAAGATTTAGATGCTCAAAGAACAGAGTCAGAAGTTGAGGCAATCTGGAAACAATTGTTCTTACACCTTTTAAATAACACAGCAGCATACATGTTTAGGGGTGACAGTTTTTAAAGAATTAACATAGGAAGGCAGTATCTCCCATCCCTTAATGGAAACTGGTGTACCAGGGGCATTTTAAGCCTGACGGTGTTTTTGGCTATGCTCCGTCTGCTCCTTTCCTAATAGCCAAGGCCTGGACAGCAGATCTCTACTCACTTGACTGCACCAGCAAGGTGACTTGTTCCCTCTCCCAGGAAGACAATGACAGAGTAAGGGATTCAGCGTCAAAGCACCTGAGTTAACCTGTACCTAAAACATGATACCAGTAAGATTAACTCTGATGGGAAAATTAAATAAGGGAAAATGAAACTGCATAAGGAATCAAGTTTCAAGTCAGAAAGGGCTGTTTAGAAACTTTAAAAGGGGGTAGATTCTGCATAAGTAAGTGTATACTACAGCAATGCTTCCTGAAGAAATATAAGGTGATTTATATAGCATGATTTAGAAGAGTTACTTGCTGGAGAAGGTTTCAGAAAATGATGAATATGCTTTACTTTGAAAATAGATGCTTTCTAGAACTTCACTGTGTTTTATAATACAGGTATTTCAGAGAAGCAGACAGTAGAATGGTGGTTTCCAGGGACTGGGTGTTGTCGAGTTGGGGCGGGGTGAGGTCTAGGAAGTACTGATCAAAGGATATGAAATTTCAGTGAGATAGGAAAAGTAAGTTCAAGAGATCTATTATACAACTAAGTGACTACAGTTAATAACAATGTATTATATTTTTGAAGATCAGTAAGAAAGTGGATATTGACTGTTCTCACCACACACAAAGAAATGAGGTAACACATATGCTAATTAAGTCAATTTAGCCATTCCATATATACGTATTTAAAAACATCGTGTTGTAGTACACAATACATACTTTTTGTTAATTAAATAAACAAAATTTTAAAATTAAAATTACATTTGATACTTTTTGAGGGCGTTTTCTCCTAGTTAATAACTCCAGCCTTAAAGCCACTTTTTTTATGAGACCTTGATTACAGCCAAGGATACGTAGGAATCTAATACCCCAATAGGTGAGGAATTACTACATAAGAACCCAAAGAGAACAGATGGAGCTAGCTAGTGTTAAAGAAAGGGACAAGTGTCAACCTGCCACACGTTGGGCTCAGCTTTTGCCCTTCGCTTGGTTCATACCTTGGATCATTTAGAGTATACTATAAGCCAGACACTGTGCTGGTCAATACAACAAACACAACTTTGGAGAAGATGTGGGCCTTGTCCTCAAGGAGATCATTGTCTAGGAAGAAGAAAAAATGCATACCACAAATTAAGTGCAATGGGAGAAGATGATGCATTTCTAATGGTCCAAAAATGGAGAGAGGGTTGGGTCTGGCTTTCGAAGAACCAACAGATATTGCAAATGTAGAGAAGGGGAATTAAGTTTGATTATTCACTGTTTTCAAAGTCTGACTTGCATCAGAAGTAGAAAGAAACAGACTGAATCAGAGAGTGTACTCTTGACATCTGTTAGCAAAATTCCCAAACCATTTCAGTCCCCAAATGATCTGCCCCAACCCACTTTCACACCATTGCTAGCTTAATTTAGCAGAACTAATCATGTCATTCCTACAATATAAGCCTTGCATGGCTTCTTGATTACCTACTGAATTTTTCCAAGATCTTCCCACAATATATCCCTGAACCTCTCTGGCCTCATACTGCACAATTCATCAGCCTGCTTTCAGCTCAGTCAGATGATTCCTCACTATTGAATAGATTCCATGGCTCTGATTATGCTGGCTTTTCCCCCCTATGCAAAGTAGTCACTGACTCTTCTCTCTACAGTTGAAAACTTACCCACTTTAAAATGCATTTTCAAATTGTACTCTCTCCTTGAAGTCTTCCCTGATTCTCAAACAGGAGGGATTTTTCTCTCCTTTTAAGCACCCAACTCTATTTGTTCCTCTTATAGCATTTAAACTTGCCTGGTTTATTGCTATAATCCTTAGTAAAGACTTCTACCCTAGTAGACAGGTATTTATCACAGGTTGTTTTGAATCAGCTTTGAATCCAACAAGCTAGATTTGGGTCTAGACTTTCAGAAACTGAGTAAATTCAGTTGATCTGGACAAAACTGGGTGACCAATTCCTTCTCTAGGTATGTGGCTGCCTTCACCTCCTCACTACCTGTGTATTATGCTGTGCTCAAGAAGATGGGCCTGGGAACATGTTGCAGTTTATATAGGAGGAAAGATGAAGAATCAGGGAAACAGAAGGAAATACCATGCTCCTGAGGCCAGACCTACAAGCAAAATCATTATGCATACAAGTGAAATCAATAAACCAATTGGCTTCATGCACCAATCTAAGATATTTTGGATGGTGACTCAACTACTCTTTGGAGCAACAGAACTGCTAACAATCAGCTTACCATTCCCTTCGTAAACAAACACACACAAAATAAAAGAGGTAGTGCTCATTTTACAGGGATGTAAGAACTTACTAAATCCTGTCTCCAATGACTTAATCTTTCCCTCTCCAGAAAATTTAGCAAACTGAAGAGCTCCTCCACAGAGTTCTGCAAGGGGGTCCCAGTGAGCAGCACTTTATGTTCCTGTATAAATTAAAAGCGCATGATTAATAGTGTGAGAGCCACCAAAACAGTACATTTTAGTGAGAAAAATTAAGCCAGGGCATTCTCTGCCCAATTTGGGGCAATTCTACTCTGCTTTAATGAAAAGATAGGATTCTAACACCTCATAGAGATACAGTCAATAAACAGATTAACTTCCTTGCATATCGCTGCTTTCAGCAGCAACCATTCATTCATTCACTCAATGGACTCAGTGCGTATCCACCACATACTGGGCACTGTGCCAAGGCAGTAATGTTAAAAGGCCATCATATTTGGTACCAGTTTGTTCAGGGACCAGGAAACAAGTCAAATGCTTTACATTTCGAGTTCATAGTCTTCACGGTACTTAAGAGCCCCCTGAGTCTCTTTAAGAATCAATCTGTGGCAAAGGTTGAATTGTTGACCCAGTTTGTAGCAAAAGACTTGATTCCTCCACAGTATCACAGCTACAGAGGGCAAAAAAGAAATCTAGAACAAAAGGACCATGCACAAGCAAGCTAAATGCAGAATAGCTAGAGAATGCTTCCTGTGCACTGAACAGGAAGAATGTGTGTTTATGTAAAGAGCTTGCAGATTCTCACCAGGGCCATGAGCTTCAGACCCTCTAGAAGTTTGCAGTTCCTATTCTTCAGTCTGTGGGCTTCATCAATTATCACACAGCTCCAGTGAATCTTCTTCAGTTCTGGGCAGTCTGCCAGGATCATCTCAAATGTGGTGATGACTACATGGAACTTGAAGACGCCTGAAAGGGGGTTTCCCTAAGAAAGACAGAATGGAAGGCAGAGCTTTACACCAGGACTGTAGAATTCTGCTAAAGGGTAACTTGCTAGATTAGAGAAGGTAACTAACTATAAATGCTAAGGCCCAGGTGAGAAACCAACAAGCACTGTTCTTCCTCATGAAGAGAGAGAATATAAGAAAGAACCAGCTAAGACAAGAAACGTCACTGCATCAATGAAACAGAAGCAAGACAGTGCAAGCCCTCACAAAGGTGAGAAGCATGTGCAGGAAGGAAGGCATGGCAAGGGGGCTTTTTATTTATTAATGCCATAGAAAAGCAGATGGGTGTTGATTCACGTATTCCCAGGGGTTGGTCTAAACCATGCATAGCTACTCTCTGCTACTCTTCAGATTTAATTCATTTCACCTTGTAATTTGGTTCTAGCATAGATTCAAAGTAACAACCCTGACTCACCTAGGACAAGGGCCACCAGGCAGGACACACACTGCTGCTGGCCCCATATTTCGAGAGCACAGAACTGTATGATACCAGAGCACATTTGCCATTTTTCCAAGTATCTCCTTTTGCTGTTTATAAACCCTCCAGAGAGAGCACTGACTCTCCTCTAATTAGTCATTAAATTTTTACCTTGTTTAATGAAAACATGCAAGACAAGCATACAACCATACTCAGCAAAGTGATTTAAAAACTTAAAGAAAAAGTTCTGGGGCCAGCAGGTGGTGTGGAGGTTAAGGTACTAGATCCCATACAGCCGACTGCAGTTTGGCTCCCAGACCCAGTGACCTGAAAAATTACATTGGTGTGTATTTATGTCCAAAATCCCAAGAGGAGAGTGGAGGAGAAGGGAATGCATTGTGGTTATCTCCCCTGGGGGATGATTTCTTATTTTCTCTCCCTTTGCTGAGTGTATGCTCCCTACAGCAAAACTAGACAAAAATCTGTTGAGCTTTCAACAATTTGAAACTTGTTTTCTCTTTTCCTTCCCTGTTAAATCTGTTAACCACCTTCCCAAACTCCCTGGCTGGGGATCTATCCTCTGTACACAAATTCTACTCATTCACTTTCCTTGTTGTGAATATAACAATTAAGATGAAACCTTCTGCATATAAAAGTAACTTCATAAGCCAACCAATAAGCCACACTTTCAGCCTCCTTAAAAAAAAGCCTCTGGTATATATTAGAAAGTTTGGAAAGCATATCCTACAATCTTGAATTTTACCATAAATTAAAATAAACTACCAGGAAGGAGCAAGAAGTCAGCCTTAACAAACAAATGGCTCTACAAAGTAAGTTAACAATCCATTGGGAAAAGGAAAATCTCTTTAGTAAGTGGTGCTGGAAAAACTGGGTATCCACCTGCAGAAAGATGAAACTGAACCCCCATCTTTCACCATTAACAACAATCAACTCAAAATGGATCAAAGATCTGAACCTAAGACTTCAAACAATAAAACTACTGGTGGAAAATGCTGGGGAAACTCTGGGAGATATTGGAGTAGGCAAAGACTTCTTAAATAAGACTCCCAAAGCATAGGCAATAATCCCTAAAATAGACAAGTGGGACTATGTTAGACCAAGAAGTTTCTGCACAGCAAAGGACACAGTAACAAGTGTGAACCGACAACCCTCACAATGGGACAATATTTTTGTTAAAATATGCCTCAGACAAGGGACTTGTACGAGAATACACAGGGAATTCAAGCGCCTTATGTGAAAAAAATGATTAACCCAATTAAAAGATGGGAAAATGAACTAAAAAAAATCTCTCTAATGAAGACATATGAACAGCTAAAAAGCATATGAGGAAATGCTCAACATCCCTCATCATAAGGCAGATGTAGATAAAAACCACAATGAGATACCACCTAACCACGCTCAGTCAGAAAAGTGCTTGCACATCCATGTTTATTGCAGCATTATTCACAATTGCCAAGACATGGAACCAACCTAAATGTCCACAAACTGATGAATGGATTGGAAAGGTGTGGTATATATACTCTATGGAATACTATTCAGCCATAAAAAATAACAAGACCCTAGAATTTGATAGAAAGTAGTCAGATATGGAGGATCTATTGCTGAGTGAAGTAAGCCAGGCTATGAAAGAAAGATATTGCATGTATCCACTTAATATATACCGACTATCCACACTCTATGGTAGAGAGTGAAAAACTAGAGGACATAAAAGCAGTGAAGTTACTTAACGAGAACAGGACACTGTGGAATGGGGGAGGTGAAGAGAAGAGGATAGAGAAAGATAGCAAGAGAACAATAGAGAGGCAGGACGGTAGTGAGAATCAGATATGGCTTATTACCTGTTGATGAGGACATGTATAGTATTCTCAACTCGATTGGCCTGAGAAGTATTTCATGATGTGTAAAGTCTTTTTACAAGCAAAATGAGAAATAGTGATTGACTGTTTTAAAAAATAACTAGAATAGTAATAATGATTGGGAAAAACAGAAAAGATATTGAATGTTGAAGTGGAGAGATTAATGTCTCTATATTGACTGACATGCATGGCATTCCCTTTTGAAAAAGCAATGTAATACACTGTAAAGTTATATGTAATCCAATGTAATATAAAGAAGATTATGATGATAATAAAAATAAAAATTAAAAAGAAAAAAAGTAAGTTAACAATTACTCAAGGTGCTGGGAATTAGGAAACTTGAAAGTAAGCGACAGAAAAACGATGCTGAGCCGAGGTTGTCCCTGGGTCTTGGTGAGCCATGTGAGGCTGAGGCTCACCTGAGCATCTCGGTACACCATTTCGTACTGCTGGATCATCTGCCTGCTGATCTGGCTGCCGTGGTACACGATGGCGTTCATCTCTGTCCATGTTCGGAACTCCCGCTCCCAGTTAGTAATGGTGGACAGAGGAGCGATGATGAGAAAGGGGCCATGGATTCCCCTGAGGAATATTTCTGAAAGGAATGTGATGGACTGGATTGTTTTTCCTAGGCCCATCTCATCAGCCAAAATACAGTTTTTTCTGCAGAGAGTGAGAAATATAGGTAATTCATTATCAATACAGAAAAGCTATAGAATTAATTAAAAAGATGCTTCAGAAGTACACCTTGATTTGTAAGGTCATCAGTGTAGACTTTTTTAGAGGTGAAACTGAGGATAGTTTATTATTATTACTAATATCCTATTTCCCAAATGGAACTATGAAAACTTGGAAGAAACTATATGAAATAGGCCTATTAAAATATAAACTTGAGACAAGGAGATTGGCTTCAAACCTAAACTGGTATCTGTAACTGATAAAGTTCCTAGAAGCCAAAGTAAAAATAAAAAGCTGAGGGCCAGCAAATGGCATAGTGGTTACGTTGCTAGACTCCCACAGGGCCAACTGTGGCTCGAGTCTCACACCTGGTGGCTTGAAAGTCACGCAAGGAACATGTGTGTGTGTGCCCAAGATCTCAGAAGGAGAATAGAGGAGAAGGGATCGTGGTGTGGCCATCCCCCCTGGGGGGTGATTTCTCACTTTCCCTCCATTGTCTCTGTCTCTCTCCAGGAAGCATATGTGCCCAATGGCAAAAGCTTCTTAAATAAATAAATAAAAATAAATAAAAAGATTGTATGTTACATGATTCTCAATATCTATCATGTGTATGTTATCAAAGGACAAACTTACTCATATGATAAATTCCTTATCAGAGTAAAAATAATCTTTTCTGGTGATCCAGAAGCATGGACTACGCACCAGAGCCGTGGCCCTGGAATGTGGCCACTGACTAGTCTCATTCCCTCACTGTGCAGATGGGCAACCCAAGACCTAGACAGGTTGGGAGAGCTGTCTTCTGGGCACACTGTAAGTGGCAGACTACTTTAGATCACAGTTCTCCAGGTGGCAGTGCACTATCACACAACACTGGAGCTATGTGGGCGGCCCAGGTTTGTATCCTGGCTTGATCTGACCATGGCAGGTTTGTGTGCCCATGATCCTGACTGGCTGGAAGGCTGTGAAGAGGACTATGGCAGGGTGAGACTTGGCCAAAAGTATCTTATTTCTCTCTCTCATGAAAGAAATAAACAAACTTTAAAAAATTATCACCAGGAAAAAAAAAATCACTACCAGATGGGACCAGTACATGGCATAGTGGTTACATTGCTGGACTCCCACAGAGCTGACCACAGTTTGAGTCCCAGACCTGTATCTTAAAGCTCAGGGAGGGCATGTGTGCATTCATGCCCAAGACCTCAGGACAAGAATGAAAGAGAAGGGATTGCAGTGTGGCTACCACCCCTGGAGGGTGATTTCTTACTTTTCCTCTTATTGTCTGTCTCTCTTTCTCTCTTTCTCTGGTGAGCACATGTACCCAATGGCAAAAAATCTCTAAACACACATACACACACAATTACTACCAGGGGTAAATTTGATAATGTTAAGAAAACATCAACTTATCTTTCTTGGATGTCCTATTTTAGCTAGATTCTGGTAGGAACCAGAGCACAGTTAAAAACAGAGTATCATAGGGAACCAGCAGTTAGCGTAATGGCTACACTGCTGGACTCCCACGTAGTCGACCTTGGTTCGCATCCCGGACCGGTGGCTTAAAACTCACACTGGGCACGTGTGCGTGCGTGCCCAAGATCCTGAGAGGAGAATGGAGGAGAAGGGACTGTGGCGTGACCATCCCCCCTGGGGGGTGATTTCTCGCTTTCTGTCTCTATGTCTCTGTCTGTCTGGCGAACGCACAAGCCCTATAGCGAAAAATAAAACTCTCAAAAACAAAACAAAACAAAACAAAACCCCAGAGTATCAAAGAACAGGTCCACTATATTGATGGCTCACAAACAAGCAGTAGAGTGGAAAGCTAGAATCCAGATCCATTCCGTTTTACTGTTTTTCCTAAATACTTAAGGGATAGAAAACTTCGTTAAAAGATCTTTGGTGTTTTGTTTCATCTAAGTTGAGCTTAATCTTTTGGTTAGACTAGCCAAAACAAAACAAACCTCAGCACAAAATAATGTCTAAAGACCACTCCTTTGTTTGGAGAAACACCTGATGTAAAAATAAAAAGTTATTATTGGAAGAACTAATGTACAAAGACTACTACTCCAAATTATAGCTTAGCTGTTCTTAATGCTCTGCATTTTCCAGGGTAAGGCAACAATATACTTCCAGATGCCACCTGGTTCCTCACCTGTTATACCAGTTAAAAAGAAGCCAGTTCATTCCCTCCAGCTGGTACTCCCGGAGCTGGTTACTGTTCTTATACTCGCGAGACTTTTCGAGTTTCTGCCAAGCATCTGAAGCAGGCCGTTCCTAAGAAAGAAAGCAGAGAGCAGGATGCATGGAGAATATTTTAGGAGCATAATACAGATAGGAATGGGAAGTGGTAAATCTCTAACACTGGTCTAAGGCTGTTTCCAACTACGATTACTTTGAGTAATGTGCAAGCCTTACAGTTTTCAGTTTTTACAAATTAACTAAGAACACCTCTGTCAAATTTCTACATAATTAAAAAGAGAAAAGGACTATGTAAAATCTTGATAAGTATTCAATTGTTTTACTTAGATTCTTAGATGTCACTCTCACTTATAGTTTAATTTCCCTGTAGTTGATACAAGTTAGGTTTTTGGTTTCTATAAACAGAATTTCTTTTGATACTTTGTGTCTAGGGTATCAGGGCAGGAAAATACAGTGGGTCCAATATTCCACTGGTTAGTTTTTCTTTTTTTTTTTTCCCCCCCACTGGTTAGTTTTTTCTTTTTCTTTTTTTGGAGAGATTTTCACTGTAGGGCGCGTGCGCTCGCCAGACAGAGAGAGACATAGAGACAGAAAGCGAGAAATCACCCCTCAGAGGGGATGGTCACGCTGCAATCCCTTCTCCTCCATTCTCCTCTCGGGATCTTGGGCATGCACGCACATGCGCCCGGCATGAGTTTTAAGCCACCGGGTCCGGGACACGAACCGCGGTCGACTACGTGGGAGTCCAGTGACATAGCCATTATGCTAACTGCTGGTTCCCCCACTGGTTAGTTTTTGAAGTCAGCACACTAGGGAAACATTTATATAACCAAAGCTGCAAATTCCCTAAATTTCACTTAAAATAACAGAGGCAGTTTTATAACTTTATTTTTCCACACAAAATACCACTTTCTAAATATAATTACTCTTTTCTCTACTAATATGAAATGGTATACTCATCTTATACTGGATTCTTTATTATGTACCACTGGCTCATCTATTACTACAATAAGACCACTTTTTAATGACTGTAGTTACATATCTCATCAGGAATTATTTTTCAAAATGTCTTGGCTGTTCTAGCTTATTTACTATGCTGTATAACTTCAGGATTAATCTGTCAAGTTCTCTTTTAAAATCCCACTGTAATTTCAATTAACATACACTGAATTTATTGATTTGGGGAAAATTTAAATCTTTATGTATTGATTCATCCCATCCCAAATTTTTGTTCATTTAGGCTTTTTATTATTGGGACACAAACTTGGTTATTTTGCTTATAGACACATTGAGCCTCTAAGTTGAAACTGTAAGGTCCTAAAAATAAAAAATTCTTAGCTATGCCTATAGTTATAAATAAAAATACTAAAATGATAACTTTTCTAAATAGCAATCTTAGCTTTTGATAGTTTTACTTTGATTATTATAATAAAGTTTACAACTAAACTTTACATATGTTGTTGGGCCTGCAGGTGGCGTGGACTTAAGGTGGTGTGGAGGTTAAGATGTCTGGATCCTCCATGGCTGGCTCTGTGGTGTGAGATTTAATAAAGTAACTCCAATTACATTACTCATACTTGGAAACAAATATAAGCTCTCTATGGTCTCGCAGAAAAACATGTATTACGACTTACATACAAAATTACTGCAGTTGTGGTTAGGCTAATCACTTTAAAATGAAACTGAGGAGACAGAAAGACAGAGAGAGAGGGAGAAGAAGAGGGAGAAAGCATCACCCTCCAATAAGGCATGGTCATGCCATAATCTCTTCTCTTTCATTTCTCCATCCTATTGGGATTTTGAGCATGTATGAACACAGAAGAGTCTGGCATATTTTTCAAGTTGCCAAGGCTCAGATTTGAATTGCAGCTGACCACATGGGATCTAACTCCCTTAACTACTAGGCTAGGGGCTGGCCCTGGAACTTGCTTCAACCAGCACATAATTGCAGGTATTTTTAGAAGCAAGGAGAATACATATGACAATACAAAAAAAAATTTTAGCTTTTAACCAAAAAAAATTTTTTTTGGGAGAGGTTTTTGCTATAGAGTGTGTGCACTCACCAGAAAGACAGAGAGAAATAGAAAGCGAGAAATCACCCCCCAAGGGGGATGGCCACACCCCAATCCCTTCTCCTCTATTCTCCTCTCAGGACCTTGGGCATGTATGCACATGCACCCGGCGTGAGTTTAAGCCACTGGGTCCAGGACTCGAACCGTGGTTGACTACATGGGAGTCCAGCAACGTAGTTGTTATGTCAACTGCTGGTCCCAAAAGCAAAAATATTTCTATATCAATTCTCCTGATTTTTTCCCTTAAAGAAATTACTTTCTTCTTAGCTGAAAGGAACAACTCGTTACGGAGCCCTGAAAACTAAGCAACCCACATTCCAATGAGCATTTTCTACTGAGCTACTATGGAGAAACTTTCTGGATGCTTCTTCACCACTAGTGACTCAAGTGGCTCACTCTCAGCATTGCAGATACTGTATAACAGAATTCCACTGTAGATTTCTTCTTTTTTAAAAATTATTTCTTTATTTAATTCCATTTGTTATTGTGATTATTTTTAAATTTGACCATAGGGAGACAGAGCGAGAGGAAGGATAAGTGAGAAAGCAAGCCACCAGGTTCAGGACTTGCACCGCGGTTGGCCATGTGGGAGTCCAGCACCTTAACCATCGTGCCACCTGCTGGCCTGCACTGTAGATTTCTACTTTGCTGCCTTGGAAATGCTCTAGTTGTAGAGGTGTCACTAACCTAGTCACTCCTCTGGGATTTTCCTCTATTAGTGTCTCCAGTGCAAAGAATTTTAGTTTTATATTACTTATTGTTTCAGTTTAGAACTTCTGAGATAAAATTTCAAAATGGTCATTTTAAATAAGAACAAATAAATGATAAAGACAGACACACATAAAATGATCCTAAGCTTCACTGAAAGCCAGGAGGATAGCAACATAACAGCAAAGTTGTAAATGAAATGTGAAATCACCTTGAAAACACTTAAGAATTCATAATCTTGTCAAGTGCACACTGTCAGGTTGAGGAAGTAAGTGGGAGCTGGGCTGAGAGAGTGGGTAAGAATCCCAATTACTTCTAGATGATAACTTACAATTCATCTCAGAGTGAAATTCTCTCTACTCTCTGCTGCCACACTGGTTTGCCTTTGCATTATGCCACACATTACAATTAGCTTGGTGCTGCATTTCAATGTGCACACATGCTTTTTCCTTTAAACTACGAGGTCCTGGGGACAGGGCTTGTACCTTGTTACTTATTATATTTCACCTAAGAATCAACCCACAGCAAATGTTTAATAAATAACTGACAAATTGGAGTAAGAACAGATAACAGTTTATGTGTGCATGTATGTTCATACGCATATATATGCAAGAAGGTTGAAAGAGGAGTTTAATAATCAAGTATGCAGACAAAACAGTATAAACCATGTCACTTCTAATTATAGTTCTGTATCTCAAAATACTGTTATACACCTTTCATATGCAAAAAAAAAGAAAAAAAAAAGAAAAAGTTAAACACTGATCTTGAACGAACTAACAGGGATCAGGGATCTAAGTTCAATGTTGAGGTCTAGTTCTCTGAGTCACAAGTTTCTAGTGATAACACCAATAAGAAACTGGATAAAAGTTTTTTGTATAGAACTGCCTTTTTTTTTTTTTTGCTATAGGGTCCATGTGCTCGCCAGAGAGACAATGCGACAGAAAGCGAGAAATCACCCCCCCCCAGGGAGGATGGCCATGCCTCAATGCCTTCTCCTCCATTCTTCTCTTGGGATCTTGGGCTCACATGCACATGCGCCTGGTGAGTTTTAAGTTGCCAGGTTCAGAACTTGAACCATGGTAAGCTACATGGGAGTCCAGCAATGTAATCATTACACCATCTGCTGGTCCCAGAAAAAAAATCAGCAAATTTTTTAACAATACAAAGTGATCACTCCAGTCTATAATCGTATTATTTAACAAATGATACTCTTTTCAAGTTAGTTATACCTTAACAAGGCTCTGATCCAATTTTCCTTTTAATTGTTAATACTCTAAAGACTACTATTGGATTATAGAAAATTCATGACACATTTTTGCATAGGAATACAGAAAAATACATCACGACTTTTTCAACATCCCAGTATTTCTCAGGCACCCTAGAGCATCTGTGCAGCTGGTGGTTATAATCCCAAAATCAGATAAACAAACTGATTCAATACACACACTGAAAGTCTATGTGCTCTCTGTAAGGTCCCAGAAATCTAGAGATGAAGGACAGTTCTTCCCCTTAAGAATATTCTAGCTGAGTAAAGAAAAATGATAAAATTGAAGAAAAATAAAGAAAAGAGGTGACTGAGGGAACAAGATTCTCTCTTGGAGAGGAAACAGGAAATAGGAAGCAGTAGGAAACAGGAAAAATAATATCCACTGAACATCTTCACATTTCTTACATATTCTTTCTTACTGGCTCCATACACCAAACCAAGAGAGTTAGTATACTATCTAAGTGTCTTAAATGTTGCAACCATAAAAGTAAGGCCCAGACTTAAAACTGACCAGGGCACTGGCTTAGGAGGAAATCACCCTCAATTCCAGGTTCAGTGCGGGAGTGACAAAGGTTAGATACCACAGAAACCACTTAGGAGCACAACCAAAGGAACATCCGTAATTGCCAGGTTACAAGAGGTATTAGACAAAGAGATGGATACTTTACCACATGCTTAATTTCAGGGAGAACTTGAAGAGATTCAAATTCTTTAACTTTTGCTGGATCCACATCTTCCTCTAGCTCCCATGTGCTTTCTTCATATGGTAGTGAGCACCACTTAACCAGGTAATGTGTCACCTCCTGGTGGGACACAGGAGAGGAGAAAAACTTAATGCTTTTTCTGCTAGGTTAGAGTTAGTCACACTCTGTCAACCTCTAGGGGAAAAAAGAAACACCTATATGACAACACATGAATATCATTAAAACAAGGGTCATATGTTAACAAAATATGCAAAATATGTGGAAAGAAGGAAAGATGCATTAGGAAAGGCAAAACGGTAAATCACCCACCTCACCAGTTTCTGCATCCTTGGTGTGAGCCACCTCCAAGATGCGGTCAACTTCCACATAGTCTGGATTGAACAAGTCTTCATCAGGCTAACACAAACAGAGAACAGTTAAGCAGAGTGTCCCTTCTCTCTAATGCAACACTTATTTTAATGTGACCCTACTCCAGACCTGATCAGAAAACAGAAAAAGTCTGTTTGAAAATAAAATCACTTCATAAACATTTCTTTATTGCCCCTCAAGTCTGCTCTACATGACTACTGGACAGTCTGAAAAGTCATGAGGTATTTTTATATGCAAAAACGCCTCATGACTTTTCTGACAACGCAACAGATTTAAAAGATCCAACCATCTTATTGTTTTTTAAGGTTTTTGCCATGTGCTCATGCACTTGCTGGAGAGAAACAGAGAAAGATAGAGAAAAGTGAGAAATCACCCCTCAGGACGGATGGTCACACCGTAATCCCTTCTCTTCCATTTTCCTCTTGGGATTTTTTGGCATATGTGTGCATACAGACAGGGCCGGAGTTTCAAGCCACTGGGTCAGCCATGTGGGAGTCCAGTGCCTTTACCAAATGCCACCTGCTGGCCCAGAATCCAACCATCTCAGAGGCTGCACATTATAGTACTGTGCAAAATCAACATAAAGGCGGCCCCTTATTGTTTTTTGTTCCTGTTGCCCTTAGCAACTCAGAATTAGTTTCTTTTTATTTTTTAAAACAACATGAGCAGCTAACACTAGAAAGGGACATAAAGGAAACTTTCTGGATACTGATAATATTTTATTTATGACCTAAGACTTGATCCACTGTCAGAACAGCTTTTCTACCTGGTTTAGTAACAGTATCATGATCTTTGTCATTATTGTTACTAAATATGGACTGACTTGCCTCCTTGTCACTGTCACTCCTTGATGTGAATGAACTGCTTCCTCTACAGCAGCAGTAGGTAATCTGATTCTCTGCTCTTTGTGTTTGCTCTTCAACAGTCTCTTCCCTATCTGGGTTAAATAACCCAGTTTGGTTACCTGTTTTTCATATGCCATGTTTCCAGATGTCTTAATGAAACAAGGAACCAATGGCTGTAGAATACTGACTCTGAGCAAGGTGCCACAATAACACTTCTGTGAACACTGTGTTCCTTATTACCCACAACAATGAAGATAGGGAACTACTTGGTATCCATGGAGGGATGGGTGGACAAAGAAAAAATGGTGTACATATGTACAGACAATAGAATATTAGCCTTTAAAAAGGAGATCCTACCATTTGCAATAACATGGATGAATCTGGAGAACATTTTGGTAAATGAAATAAGTCAGACTCAGAAAAACAAATACTACATGATACTCACATATGAAATTTAAAATAATAAAACTTAAAAAGCAATGAATGGTTGCCAAGGGCAGAAAGGGGGATAAATGGAGAGTCAAACACTTTAAGTACATATACTTTTTGTCAATTATACCTTGATAAAGCTTTGACACTATGATGTGTGTGTGTGTGTGTGTGTGTGTGTGTGTGTGTGTGTGTGTCTAGGGTTCCTGTTTCCCAAATATTTAGCTTTTTGTTTTTGATTCCTAGAGCAGCTTTAGGACAGCTACAAAGATGATGCATGACAGTCTGACCTTCTCCTTCCTTCCCTTCCCCTGCCCCTTTTTCTCCCTAGACAGGCCACAGAAACTAAACCCCAAGTGGGTCTTACAAACTCTCTTACCCCTCAACTTGCCTCCCCAGTCTTTCTGATAAGTCACAAGGCAGAAGGACCCTGCCCCATTCCTGGGAGGAAGAAATGCAGCCCAAAGAGGGCAAGAATCCAAACCCGCAAGCCTTGCAGGGTATTCCTGCCCAGTCTATTAGCATTTCTCGCTTATGCAATGATGTCTCCATAAAAACCCAAAAGTAAAGCATTTTGACAGCTTCCTGATAACTGAACATGTGGGGGCTCCCGGAAGGTGGCACTCCCAGAGAGGGCATGTAGCCTTCCCACATGGCTTACCCTATGCATTTCTTCATCTGCATTCTCTGTGATACCCTGTAAGTCTAAGTGTATCCCTGAGTTCTGTGAGCTGCTCTAGCAAATTAATCAAATCCATGGAGGGGAGGGGATCATGAGAACCCTGATTTATAGACAAGTCAGAAGCATGGGGCTTGCATTGTGGGAGGATGACAGTCTTGGGGACCAGACCTAAACTATGGGATTTGATGCTAACTGCAGCCTCAGAACTGAGCTGGATTAGAGGACACCTGGCTAGTGTTCACTGCAGAACTGATTGCCTGTGGTGAAGAGAAACCCCCACATGTTTGGGGATCACAAACATTATCTGTGTTCTGAGAGGAGTGGAAAAACAGTTTTACTGATTCAAAAGCTGAAAAGCAATGACACTGTGCCATTTAATCTTCACAGGTATGCTGTGAGGTTGATGTTATTAGGAGTCCCACCTTAGACATATGAGGATATTGAGTTTGAAGGACTTTAGACAAGAGGTCCAAAGCCATTCAGCTGTGTGTGGGAGGGGATAGGTGGGTGACAGGAAGGAGCCAGAACCTGCACCCAGGAATTTGACTCCAGAGCCCCAGCTCTTTTCACCACGCAGTCCACTCTCCACCTTTGCTCTCCAGTACTCTGGTGTGCTTCTTCCCCTTCACCCCTGCAGTCCTGCCGTCCTCCCAGGTTTTACCAAGTCCCTTGCTGCACCTGGTATCAAATGAACATGGCACTTAAGAATGAAAAGAGCGAGGCACCACAGGACTGATCTATTGGTGTGGTCTATAACTTATCCAGCAACCACTCTCAGCACACAGAGACTTGTGGGGACTTCAAGTGGCAATACCTTTTCTCTCTAGAACTGCTACCTGTCCTCCCCACTTCAAATTTGTAAAGATTCTTGGGACCAGCAGTTGGTGTAATGGCTATGTCGCTGGACTCCCATGTATTTGACCGTGGTTCGAGTCCCAGACCCAGTGGCTTAAAACTCACACAGGGCACGTGTGCGTGCGTGTCCAGGATCCCGAGAGGAGAATGGAGAAGGGATTGCGGCGTGGCCATCTCCCCTGGGGGGTGGTTTCTTGCTTTCTGTCTCTCTGTCTGTCTCTGTCTTTGCAGCAAGTGCACGCACCCTAGAGCAAAAACCAAAAAAAAAAAAAAAAAAAAAAAAAAAATTGAAAAATTTTTTGGAACCAGCAGT